CTATAAAGATGAAGGCACCCGATAAACGTTTACTTTACTATTCCAAACTACCACCAAATGGCTTTCTTTTCTCCAAAAACATCTCGAAACACGAAATTACCCGATAGAGACTCTAGAAAAAGACTTATCAATAAGAAATAAAATGAACTATCAAAACCTCTACAAAACGTAACACATCAAGTTACTAGAGTAAAACCAAACCCATGAGATCCAAATAAGAATCTTTCATTCAGTTTAATGATCCAATCATATTGAATAGTGAATATCCAAAGAGATTTCATCTACATTCATTTGTTTGTCCAATGTTAATAAGCCTAAATGCCAACAAAAAACTTGTATGGGAAAAAAAGAAAAAATCCTTTGTTATACCAATAGTGTCATAGAGAATCTTTTAAGAGAAGATTACCAGTAGCCTCTTCCACGGCCACCACCACAACGTCTCCCCTGACCTTGGCCCATGCCTCTTGTCTCCTTATGATACTTCTTCAAATGTTTTGTTCACAACAAACTAATGACTCTGCACTCGTCTCCTTTTTAACATCCACATCACTACCGCCTCCACTTTCCGGTCAATTTCATCTGTGAAAGAAAAACATAAGTTTCTTCAACATTTGGAAAACAAGATAAGAAACCTGCAAAAGTGACTATGGTGACATTGCTCTATTCACAAACTGTTGACTCTGGGCACATCTCTTCTTTGCACCCATTGCCTTATGGGCTCCACTTGCAGGTCGTTTTCTTCTGGAAGATACAAACATAAGTTTCTTCCACATTTGGAAAAAAATATAAGAAAACTACAAAAAGTGACTATACTGATACGGCTTTGTTGAGCTCAAGGCATTCATTGAGTTAGTTTTTTCATTGTTGCCTTGGTTAAATCCTTAACACTAATCAATCTGCAATGTCTGTTTTATTAAAAAAAGTTCATCATACAAAAATACTGAAAATCTATTTTTACAAGAAAAAACATAATATCAATACCTCTTAGTGAAGTCCTTGAAAAGCTTCGAGAAGTCTTCCAAATCTGATGGCTGACTGGCCACTACTTTGTACCCGCACAAGCTGTTTGTTGCATCTGGAACCTATATATTCAACATAAACACATAAGTTAGAAGGAAGACAAAGAGACTTGGCCAAGAAACTAAAAAGAGTTAGTCAACCTTTTGGCCAAGTGATGAAGCATGTATGATAGGCACTCAACATATGTATGATAGGTACTCAACATATGTGAAGTTCTGCGTTTTTTGGATATTGGAGGACGTTG